GTATTATCTTGGTCCCGGTCAAATGTGTTTAGGTGACTTATTTTACATCCTTATCAATGATTACTTTTTCTAAGTAATAATGTAGTTGTTTGATTCTAGGAATCACGCGGGAAATGGTCTCATTACCTCCAGACATTTGCGCATTAGTAGGTATTGTAAACTGTCATTATTATATAATTAGGTCATATTCTCGTCATCTTATTACGTCTAAAATCTATTTCATGAGCAGAAGGGCGATCCAGGTTCGCTCGATTAGGTTTGTCCGTACACATTACTGCCTCATTTATTCATCCTGGTGTGAAGAATCAAACGGTTTTGGAAATTTTTAATGCTTCGAGTCTTACATTGGCTCTTCATCCAGGCACTAAAGTTTGTCAAATGATTTTTATGACTATGGAAGGACAAGCTGAATATTCTGGAATTTTCCAAGGACAGGCTCTATAACAATTTATACGATGTTATTTGGATTTCATTTTATTTGTTAATGGAGGTAATAATATATGTTGTAATATGAAGTATCTTAATTTTTTGTTTTATAAAATTTTACTTGATATGTACAATGGAATGATATTAGATGTTAGACTACACTAATGATCTGTAAACTCTAATTCAAAGAAACATTAAACCCTAATTTTTATAATCTATAATGTTTATACTCGATTAAGTATAGAATACGCATGTTTTAAATGTTAGCCGAGTAGAGCTTAACTTATTAAAAATCGTACTATGTGACTCAGATGTGTGTTAGTATTTTTATATATTATACTCAACTTAGGAGTGATTTTGTTGCGTCTGACTTTGACTAATCCAACAAATATCTTATTTATCCACGAAATTCCGCAGAAATTCTCACCCTTCGAACCGTTAATTGATCTTTGTATATATCAATCAACAAATGTATGCCTTTTAATCTACAAGCAAGTGTATTTACTAAGAGGTCGACATCGGTTTATAAATACAATTTTTTATAGCTAGTTCACTATAGAATATCATTGTCAGATGCAAAATTTACTTTATCAGCATCTTTTATAATATTTGCTAAGTAGAGCTTTATGCCTTTTTTTTTCGAATTACCCTGCATTATATAATATCGCTCTCGTAATTCTTTTTCAAGAGTATAATTTATCGACTCAAACTTTGGAATTTCGATTTGAATTATACTCTTGATAAATAAACTTGCCATACGTGTTAAGAGTTTATGCATGCAATTATAGAAACTCATTTCAAAGAAGCACTATTAGGGTGTGCAAAAAAGTACAAAACCTATTGTAAAATGCCGGTATTTCCGTTTAATTAAAACAATTTCCGGCTCGATTTGTTATCGGGCAGAAATTTTCCGTTGTTTATACGTAATATACTAAGTATAATACGATATACATAGTTTAATAATATTATCATTATTAAAAATTACTACTTCCGGCTGTGGTTTCTAAGTTCCTGTTAAAACAAGCATTTCCGAAAAGTTTGTGCACTGATGTGCAACATTAATAAATAACATAAAAGTGTGCTTTTTGAATAATAATATTGTGGTAGTTTTTATTTTTCTTTTGTCTTCTAATTCATTTTAATTACTAGCTCTGTTTACTCTTTGACTGCCGCTTCTCTTATGATCTGTCTTCACTGTTCTAATACTGCAACTAATTTTTAATTTCATTCCTATTATTATCTGATTTTTTTAATTTATTGTTACTACAATCTATTAGATTTTATCCTTTGTTTTTTCTATTTCTATTGTATATATTTTTATCAATCTCTTTTATTCTGTAAACTATTGTAATATAGTCAAATATATATATATATTATATTTTTTTATATTTTTCTTATATTTATTATATATTTTATAGTTTTGTTAATATTTTTATATAGTTTATATTTTATTAGTTTTAGTCACTTAAATGATAGTTTATTATTTATTTTATTAGTATATTTTTGACAGATTTTTATTTAAAGTAATATTTATTTAAATATTTTAATTATTAATAGGTATCTGTTAACTTTCTGTACTAAATTTAGTACAGATTAAAAAAATTATTTTACAATAATAAATAATGGAATTTAATTTATAGTGCTATAGCATGATGGTGCTAGGGTGTTGTGACCAATTAAAATTTAAGATCAGGTGTAACATGC